CTCTCCGCGGCTCCTTCCGGGCTTCTACTTCCCCCCAGGTGTGGCACCAGTATATATACGGATACAGTGTCCAATCATATTAAAGTAAGCAAGGCAAGCTGATTGGCTAACATATTATTGAGCGGGTTGTTTACGCGGTAAGCAGGAAACTAACGTGCTCGATGGGAGGGGTAATCTAACTCAGGCTTTGCTCTTTACCACAGGCCGCATGATCGCTATATGCGGCGGCTCGGCAATGTGGTGGCTCCCAACATACTTACCTTCCTGGGCTGTTGTAAAGTTTCTATTATTTGATGGAGGTAATAGTTATGCTCCAGGCAGCTGAGCTAGTTACAAATACATGGCTAGTCAGACAAGGCAGGGTCCTCAAAGGAGGCAGAGCAGAAGTTCAAATAATATCTTGCAGACTTGAAAGAGACAACCACCTCCTGCTGTGGGCCCGCTCAAGACAAAAGGCAAAGCAAATACAACCACATCCTAAGCATCCACAGTCCAAATAGTTCTCTATCACCCTGAGGAAGTCAGGAGTCAGCATCCTACCCCCAACAGGAAGAGTCTCTGCTGTTAAGCATGCCTGCTTACTACGTGACATGCTCCCCCATTTGCTCCTAGTTTAATCATTTTTAGCATAGTAATTAATCTTATTGGTTGACCACAGTTCTGTCCTGCCTTCTAACCACCTTGCAAATTCACATTTCTGCCATCTTTGACCCATCTAACCTCATAATTTTACTTTATAAAAGTCCCTGGAAAAGACAGGGTCCTTGGCAACCCGCTCGGGGCCCCTTCTGTCTCTTTGTTGGAGAGAAACTTTCTTTCTCCAATAAATATATTCTTCTCTTAACCTCTGTTGTTCCTAAAATTCATTCTTCCATTTTAGAGAATGCGAACTCATACTGGACATGTAGTAGGATGGGAGAGTATATCAGTGACACTTGTCAAAATTCATCCCTCTGTGCACTGAATGAAAATTATGCGTTAATAATGTACCAGTGTCAGCTATGCATACCTGTAATCCCAGCACTTGAGAGGCTGAGGCAAGAGGATTGCCAGGAGTTCGCAGCCAATCTGAACTGCATAGTGAGACCTGGTCTCAAACCAAAGAAGTACTAATGTTACAAAAATTGGAAAGGGATGGGTTGGAGGATAGCACTAGGTTTAGGTTTTATTGCATGTTAGGTTTTATCCTATTAGACGTCACTGTAAAATACCCCACTCTGCTTATAAAAAAGGTCCCAACTGGTTTACCTCCAGTAAACAGTGGTTACAGTTATTACCCCATCACAATAGTGGAAGCAGCAGGAATGTAGACCTGGTACCTTGGCAAGTGTTTACTGCGCATGCACAGCAATGGGGGTCTGTAGGTCGGTCTGAAGTTTCTGAGACTGGGCGCTAGGTGGTGCTCTGCGGAGTTTCCGCCTGACCTCGCTGTGGGGAGCCAGGGTAAAACTGCTCTCTGACCCCAGAAACTGGGCACAATCGGGGCAGGGTTTACAAAGTGAAACTAAAACACACCAAATCTTTGCAAGCAACAAACCAGCAGCATACTCATGACTAAAACGTGCCATAATCCTGCTGACAGGGAGTGTTCCCTTTAATATTTTTATGTGAAAATATTCTCAATATTTACCTGCTTTGTTTTTGGGATGGCTAAAGTTCTTGCGTTTTTCCTTTCCTAAAACAATTCTCAATCCTCAGGATACTCGCCCAGCCAAGTGCGCCTGTACGTTTCTGGGTGGGTCGCCCTGGCTGGTCCTAAATTCAACCTTGCTTCTGTTCCTTTACCCTCCCAGTTACAGTTTGGCCCTGCTTGCTCCTGCTCCAGCCTGGAACCACGCAGACCCCTGGATAGCAGTCTGGCTGTGCTCCCAGGGCTGCCACCGAGCCAGAGAATACAGTGCCCTCTGTGACCTGTCCCAATGGACACGGGGGAGAGGGTGGGGTTGGGAGCATAAAATGTTTATAAAATTGGTTTTCCTCTTCACAAAACCTTTCATCTGCTACATGTCCATATAGTAGCAAACGGCCAGTCAGGGATCAGGTAATGCAGTTTGTTGAGCCAAGTGGGCAGTTTGTGAAGTATTCCATTCGGCTGTTTAAAACATGCACCAAATCAGACAGAAAAGAGTTGCAGAAGATTGCCGGGGCAACAGCAACAGGATTTGCTATCAGGGGACTCATGGGCTTCTTTGTGAAATTGATCCACATCCCTCTTAACAACATTCTTGAGGATGGCTGATCATTTTGGAAGGGCATTTTTCTTCTTGACATCTTAGGGGTTGGAGAAGCTCATGAGGTAAAAATTTGCCTTTGTGGTTCTCTTTTCTTTTTTCTCTTCCCCCTTTTAAAGTGTTTCCTATTTGTAAATTAAAGTTTCAAAAATAAACCCTTTCATCCACAGTATTTTCCACTCAGAATTCTCCAAAGGAGTAGCTTAAAGGTGGCAAGTCGTGGAAATAAAGGAAGATCAGCGAGGTCAGAAAAACAAAGCAATTTATTCTGGGCTTGATAGTGAGAGAGTAGGCACCTGAGCTTACATTTGGCCGACTAATGCAGATGGAAGCAGGAAAGCTTTCTAATAGAAAAACAGGAGGCTTCAGATGTTCCTTGTTAAATGCTGTGAGCGAAGACTCTATAGTTGAGCTAATTCTGGGCTCAACCTCCACTACTGGAAAACAAAGTAGGGCATTCCATGCCTTTAGTTAGGGGTGCAGAGTTGGCATTCCCTGGTTGTTCATAAATGGCAAGGAGGACAAAGGGTGCTGTGTCAGTTATTGATCAAGTTCTGGCCATTTTGAGTTGATTGTTAGGGAAGCTGTTAATTTCCCTGAATCTCTCTCTCCCTCTGTGTCTCTCTCTGTCTCTGTCTCTCTTTTATTAGATAACAGTCTGACCCCCTACAAGTCTGATTTACAGCAGGCTGGTTTCCTGGGTTATTCACTGGAGAGAAGGGATTGTAGACTGTGGCTCAGAGTTCTCTTTTTTATACATGGCCTGAATAGTGTATCCAGCCTCTGAAATATACTCATTCAGCACATCCTAACCTAGCACCCTGGACATTCAGCTTCCCTTAGGCACTTCTCACTCAAATGTGGGTCTGGGGCCAGACTTCTCTGGGGTCTGTGGGTTCTGAGACAAAGGTCAAGACATTTAGGCATCACTCCATGTGGGAATTTCAAATGGGACCAACAACTCAACTGTTTCTGTAAATGCTCGGGGTAAATTTTCAAGGCCTTGGAGTTTGTCCAGTTGCCTTGCAAAAGATGCTGGTACTGGCTAGCATTTAGTGAGAGTTTACTGGCCATTATAATGACAAGGAGCTGGCAGCAGTGTCCCTGTGGTGCAATTGGTTTGCACACTTGGATGTTAATGGACAGATTGGTGGTTTGAGCCCACCCAGAGATGGCAAGGAGTTTGGTCACTTCCTCAGTGGTTAGATCTAAAAAACACATCTTACTTAACCAGCTCAATGATCTAGTGGTTACTTGTTTCCCCCCAAGCCCCAACCATTACTGCCACCAAAATCCTAGGAAAAAAAGGTAGTGGAGGAGAAAAGGAAGTCCTTGCAACAGGGAATGGGGAAATGCAGAGTAATCTAAGCATGACTTTAGGGTGTGAAGTTATCATTAGTAGTGTGTAAGCAGTAATACCTAGAGGCTGTGTCTAGTTTTAATAATTGCTCCATCTATATTGTTAGTAGTAGAGTCAGGATCCATATTATCTTCTGAATTATTTTTAACAAAGTTGTTTCTTCTTTTGTTGTACTATTATCTAACCCTTTATTGTGTTGTTTCGAAATTAGTTTGGTTCCATGATTTTATAATTTCAAATAATGCTGCAATTATCATTGTCCTACAAGAATCTTTTGCTATCTGTACAAGCATTTTTATAGGATGGAGCCCTGGAAGTGCTCCTGCCATCTCATCATGGTTCTTTTTTTTTAACTTAAGTGATAAACCCTGTAAATTTACCTTCCATAGGAGGCAAATATTCTTATTTAGTTTTCAACTCAAAGAGTCTTTTTCTTCTATTCTTGCTAGCACAAAAAACTTCTATACATCTGTGATATCCTAATAAAGGAAGTGCTGCTGTCCTGACTTAAGTGGAAGCCTTCTTTTATCCCTCATTAATATATTGTCAATTATTTTCTCCCACCAGTGACATCAATGTGGAATTCTGGTTTTGATGCTACTAAATGAACATCTGAAGATGATCTCTGTTGATGAGTAATTAACAGGGATCCACCTGATACCTCAGACAAATACATGACCATTAAGCTAGTCTATGCATCTTTGTTTGACTGGTTATTTGATCTAAATGTTTTGGTATTTTCTGATGTTTAACTGTGCAGTCTTGAAAAGGTGGGCCTAGTAGGTTTCTGCAAAAGTGGAATGTCTAACAAAATGATCTCTATACACAGTGATTCTCCCTTATGAGCTCTGACTTCAATAAATTGTTCTACCTAAAGGCAATCCTGGAACAGAAAGAAATCTAGATTCCTGGGGTCCAGTGATCTGCTATCTTAGTATACGGAGGCCCTAAATGATAGAATTGTCATGACCTGCACACCCAGCCAGGTCATGAGTGATGGTGACAGGAGAGTAGGAGAAACATTTAACACACACTACAAGGAAGCTGGGACTGTGTGGGACCTGACCTGTCTGATGGAGAGGCAGTGACAACTCAGCACAGTCTGTGTCTTATTTATACACAGTCAAAAAAAGAAGCAGCACCCAATGAGGCCCAAAGTGCAAGGTCTCAGTGTTTTCCTGAGAACACTGGAAGTGAAACATTCTCAGAGCTATCTGTGCTATGGTTAATAGGGAAGAGCACCAATGCCAGACGCTTACTGGATTGGCCTTACTCTACTTCCAAGGATTTGCCTACCTTAAGCTTGGTCCTGGCTCAGACGCTTCCCACATAGAATAATTTTGCAATTATTTTTTTTGTAAAGGAATTTTTTTTATTATTTAAAAAAGATAAAATAGAAAATGGGCAGAAATAATACATACTTTCAAAGAAAATAAATAAACAGTAAAAAATCACTAGATGATGTATACATATTGTCCTCCCACAAACAGTAGTTCAAGATACAAAAGTGGAACATATAAATGGGAATTCAACCAGGGAGACTGCAAACCATTCTGTTCAACTATCCAACAAAAACTAAGTAATATGGCTATCAATCCTATACACTTAGACATGCATGCATTTATCCATATCTTCATTTATGTTGAGACCTAACAAAACTTATTAGATTAAGTTCCTTCTGAACAAAGACTAATAATATTGCTGCATTTCATATCATAAAACTCTGGAATCAGCACTGGGTACTGCAGTGTCCCTTTCTTTCCTTCATAGTATTTGTTCATCATGTGTCATAAGATCAGTTCTCATAAACTGTTTATAGGTTTTACACAAGCATGCCTGGAAGGACAGACATTCTCCTGGGACTACAGATTTTCCTTGCCGCCCCTTGAGAGTGGTGCTCGAGCTGAGGACCTTTGTGGAAACCTACCAAAAATGTAGTTCCAATAAAGATGAGGACATAAAAGCTATGCAATGAAACTGTTTGTTTCAAAAACTAACACATGTGTATGATTTAGACTCAAAGAAATCCTTCAGTTGGGTTGTTCCTCTACTAGGATGATGTCAAATGGGAAAGAGAAATTCTTTATTTCATGTTCCCTTTCATGTTCCTGTCTTCCAGTTCAGTAATCTATCCTTAGTTTCCTTCAAGCTGTTATGCCAGCTTTCAATAGAGTTTTTAGTTTCCTGGTAGTCCCTTGGAACCTGCTTCACGTATTCTATGTTTTTTCTATTTTCTCCATCAAACAATTCTCCCCCTTTTTTTGTTCTTCCATTCTACCATCTGTTTTTTCTTGGGAGGTGCTTAGCATTTCTTTAACTATTCTACTTATATCTTGCTTAACTTGGTTAAATACTTCACTTTTGAACTCATCTATGAGGTCCTGAAGATATCGCTTTATGTCTATTGGTGCCATGCATGATATTACATGTTTTCTGTCCTCATTCTCCTTTGCATTTACTTTTCTTGGATCAGTATTCTCAGGATGGGGGACTGAGGACCCTTTCTTGTTGCCTCCTCTTTTAATATTTTTTGTTCCTTCCATACAGGTGCACATAGGAGGCCCAATTTTTTTCTTTGTTGGTTTCAGTTTGTCTGAAGCATGCTAACTAGGTGGTCCTGCCCACTGCAGTGTACTAGGAGGTACAGACCAGGGCAGCCTATGTTGGGCCCACCCCTCCAGGTCAACCTACTGAACCTTCACTACTAGGGTGCACTGCCAGGCACAGGGACCTGGTTTAGGCTAGCCTATTGTTCCTCAGTCCATGGTGTCACCCAGGTCATTGGTCCCCACCAATCCCACTTGAGAAGGGAATATGTGACTGAAGTAACTGCAGCACCCCATTCCAGCCAGTCTGCCCAGTCCAGAATGTCCTCTGTTGGAGCATCTTTGTCTATGGAAGGGTCCCCATCCCTCTCACTCACTGCAGGTTGATGCAGGGTTCCCTACCAGCTCTGCTCTCAGTTTGGCTCACTGATTCCCACTCTTAGAGTGTTTGCATCTCTGGTGAGTTAAAACTAGTGGGCTATCCCGGCTGCACCAATTCAGGTATGGCAGCAGCAGAGTATTCAAGCCGTGAGGTCCAGTGGCGGCACCAAGACTTCAGCTGTTCCAATTGTAGCACTGGGATTGCATTTCCAATTGGTTTCTCTCAGGTTAGTTCATTCCTGAGTTGGCAGGGTATATCTCCCTTTGCTTAGGACTCCACACATGCACCATTCCTGAAATCTAAGCTGCAGAGAGCCTCTGTAGCTGCTGTTATCTATCCACCATCTTCTCTTCCAATTTTGCAATTATTAAAATCAGACTGAAGAAAGAAGGAAAAGATATTTATGTCATTACAATAAGATGACATATATTAATTAATATGTAGTTGATATCAATTAGGGTTCTCCAGAGTATGAAATGGAGGCATTTGACAACAACTTAAACTGATTTAAAAGTCTTTGAAATGATTTCCAGAACTCAGATAGTTCTTTCTTTAAAAAAAAATGGGCAAAAAGTGACTTTAAGTGAATTTTTAAAATTTAAAAAATTAAAATCAATTTTTAAAATTTCAACATTTATGAATATTTGAACAGCTATTTTGAGGAGAAAAAGAGACATTACATTAGCCATTGCTGATTTTCCTATTGTCTGGTTTCAAATGTCTGTAATGCTTTCATTATTCTGTTTTGATCAGTTTTACACTATTTTGTTTTGTATGAATTCATTGTGTGTCAAGATATTGACTACTATTTAGAAGAAAACAAGAGGCATTATGGTAGTCACTGTTAATCTCCTGTTGTCTTGCTTTGAAATCCTGTCACTTACATTGTTTTCTTCTGATCTGCTTTGTTCTGTTCTGTTTTGTTTCACCCTCTTTAAAATAAAATCAATTTATTTATTATTTATTCATTTTTTCAGAAAAAAACCAGAAAAAGTGTAGAAATGTATAGTGTTTAAAAAAAATAACATTAAGAATGATAGTTGATATATTACCAGATACCAAAATGTGGTATATCAACTAGAGATGATTTCTTAATAAAATAAAAATTTTAAACAGGATAAAATCCAATCAGAAAATGAGCAATATATCCCGAAAAGGTCCTGAGAAACTAAAAAAGGTCACAGAGTTATTCAGATTTTCAGCAAGGAGTCTCCTCTACCTAATCATGCTAATTATTTCCTTTGGTAATAAACATTTTCAATAGATACCATTGCCTGTTTTCCACTTTAAATGATGTTACTTTATATAATTAGTTCCCTCACAATGCTCAGTAATTTCAAGGAATTATTTCATTGTAAAATATAAATTGTTTTCTGAGAAACATTTATATTTCCTTGAAGTATAGACAAAAATAGGTCCCTCAAAATTCAAAGGAGATACTTTTCAAATTGATTTGTGGACATCACTGGTCATTTATATAAATTGGAAAAATAAGATAAATTAAGTATTTTTATGACAAATGGGAAGTTTTTCTGTTTATGATTCAGAAGTGGATACAGTGTTTGGCTCCTTTCAGCTTTTACAATTATTTTTGGTGTTTTCTTCATGTAGCCCTAAAGTTATTATTTTTGAGGTATATCAGTCAGCTTTCAATCACTATAACAAACTACTCAATATAATCAATTTATAAAGAGAGGAAGTTTATTTTGGCTCATGGTTTTGTAGGTCTTAGTCTGTAATCTGGTGGGCCTATAGCTTTGGGGATCTATTGAGAGGTGGGTGTTCCTGGCAGATCAAAACTGTTTACCTCATGGCACGGAAGCAGGAGAGAAAGGAAGAGGATGGAGCCAGAATCCCATCTCCCCTCCAGGGGCCTGCTTCCAAGCACTCTGAGACCTTTACTTAGGCTTCACCTCTTAAAGTTTCTACCATCTCTCAACAGTGCCCAGTGGGACTTAAGCCTTTAATTCACAGGTTTTGGGGTATGATCATCTGGTTGTTCTAATTTCTGAAAGTCAAAGCAGTTACTTACATACTATTTTTTTTTTTGGTTTTTTTCCTTTTTATCGGTACTGGGGATCGAATTCACGACTGCCTGCTTGCAAGGCAGGTGCTTATGCCGCTGAGCTAAATCCCCAGCCCCTACTTACATACTATTAAGAATCTAGCATGGTGAAGATCCAATCTGAGACTCTGAATTTCATCAGTTTATGTAATAGGGCAAAACAGCGGGGCCTATGTTTACAGATCCCCATACACTGGATGCCTGGAAACAGCCCTAATACTTATCCAGGAGGTTATGCAATATTAAGACTGTGCTCTGTATTGCTTTCCTAAAACAATAGCAAATTCTGACGTCTTAAATATATCTGACTCTAAAGATTCAAATCAAATAGCACGTAGGACTCTACTATATTACTTGCCTATTTATTTTTAACCTCAGTCTGCAGTAGGTTCTGGGTTTTGTATTTTTACTGCCTTAATTTTTGGGTACTTTTTTTCTTTTTTTGTCTTTATTTTATTTTGTTTTTGCTTTAGACAAGTAGTTTAGAGTCTCAGGTATTTAGGTGAAATTTCTCAACCTATAATAAAATTTACTTCCCATGGTTATTGGGACTATTAAGTTTATAGGAAGTCAAACAATATAAAAATCATTGATCCAATAACGGCATGCATACACAATGTAGTTAGTATCTGCTATGGTTTGTGTCTGGATACCTTGCCATCCCAGACCTCATGGGGTCATAGAGTATTTTGGAGGTGGCTGAGTTAAGAGTGTATGAGTGATAGGAGGCACAATGCTGGGTGGGTGATTGCTGGATCAGTCCACTAGAGGATAAAAGGAGCAGAAAGATGCTCTTAAGGTTCTGTGCCTGATTTTTTTTCACGTTATTTTCAATTGAAGAGAGTAAAACCAAATGAAATAAAGTAGAAGAGAGTCAATTCAAACAAAACAATGAACATGGTACATGGTTTTAAAACAAAATACAAGAAAATCAATAATGGCTATTGCAATGCCTCTTGGTATCGTCAAAAAGAATTGCTCATAACATCTGGCATAATAAAATCTAACAAAAGAGTACAGAAGAAAATCAAAAACAAAACAATGGAAGCAGTACAGGACTTCAAAACAAAATACTGGGGAAGCCATAGTGGGTACCATACTGCATCTTGTTATCTTCATGTTTGATGCCTATACCATCAGATATGATACAATCAAACAAAACAAAATAGAATAAAATCAGTCACAAAACAATGAAAGCAATACAGGGCTTCAAAACAAGCTAATAGGAAATCAATAATGGCTACCATTATATATTTTGTTATCTTTGAAATAGCTGTATGGTATCAAATATAATAAAATTAGACAAACCAAACCAGAAAAATACCAAACTAAATAGAACAATAAGAACAATATAGGTTTCAAATCAATAAATTAATGATTTCTGACTTCTTTTTTTAGATTCTTTCTCCCTGTTCACCTTCACAGTATGTATTGTGCATTTTGGATCCCACCAACTCCTCTAGTTCTTCATACTAGGGAGACTACATGATATTCACCCATGTGACTCTGAACCATTTCATTCCTGAGCATCCTCTCAATTTGTATCCATTTACCTACAAAGAGCCTCAAGTTTGTCTTTATAGCTCATTAGCTTTCACTGTATAAAAGTGCCATGGCTTTCTTACTCAGTCTACAGCCGATGGGCAAGCTACCTCCATTTCTTTCTGGTACCCTGTCCCAGAGAGTATTGTGCTGTTCTCTTTGACTTTCAGTCTATGAACCCCCTTTCAAGTCAAATACATTTCTTGTATAAAGCATATTGATGGATCTTGTCTCCTGATCCACACTGCCTGTGTTTATTTTTATTGGAGAATTAAGGCCATCTATATTAAAGTTATGGCCAACATCACGGGCTCATGTCTGCTATGTAATTTTTCTGCTATTCACTGCCCTCTATTCTACTGCCTGCCCTATTCCTAGAACCATGGTCTTTTTTTTTTTTATCTCTCTCTAGAATATTGTTCATCATTTTTTACAGGGTTGATTCGGTGGTCATGCATTTCTTCAGTTGTTCTTTGTCATGGAAGTATCTTGTTTCTCCATTAAATTTGAAAGATAGTTTTGCATGGTACATCAATCTGGGTTGGAAGTTGATTCCTTTCAGGACTTGAAATAATTTACTCCAAGCTCTTCTTGATTTAATGGTTTGTGTTGAAAATTCTATGGTGATTCTGATAGGTTTTCCTTTTTTTCTTTCTTTTCTCTAACAGCTTTTAATATTTTCTTTTCTCTAACATCTTTTAATGCTCTGTTCTTATGTTGAATTTCTGAGATCTTGATTTTTTTATAATAGTCACCCAAGGAGTCAAACACAAAAAGTTCGGGAAATCTGTCCACACACTGAAGATCCAAAATATCCAGCTGAGGCCTTGGATCTCATGGCAATATCCTGCATGAGTCCAGTTGAAGACCTGGAGCCCGTGACAATGCCTCTCACAAGACCATCTGGAGTCCTAGAGCCCATGACAGTGTTGCATGCAAATCTGTTCACAGATATGTGCTGACAAGGCCCAAAAGTCAGTGGTGGAAACTACAAAGTCTGTGCTATGGGATGAAGGATCTGTGATAGCAGGCTAAGGGTTCTGCACTGGAGCCAGGAAGTGATGCTCAGAGAAAGGAGCAGAGCTCCCCCAAAGTGAACTGAAGCCATTCTCAGTGACAACAAAGTTCTGAGCTCCTCTGGCAATGAGAACACCCAAGTTCATATCAGGAAAGAAGCTCAAAAAGCTCCTCCAGAAAAACCAGCCACAACAGGACAACCTGCGTCTCCACCCTTCCGCCTCTCCAGTTCTCCTGTTTCTGTTGCTGGCAACAATCCTCAAGAGGTCCATCCATACCCAGTGCCAAACTGATTCAGTTCAGTGGGGTGTTTCAGGCTGACCACCAGTTGTCACCACAGTGTCTACCACAGTAACTGAGACAGTGTCTATCTCTTGTGTTTTAAGAACACACATTATTATTCCAGCTGATGTACAACAAATTTTTTTGCATTTTCCAATTCTTTTGCACTCAACCTAATGTTCTCAGGAAGGCACAGTGAGGCCTTTGCTTCACTCCTCTGTATGCCTTCTCAATTCAGTCTCTCTTGGATTTAAAAATAGGGTAGAGAGAACTGGAAAAAGATGGCAGATAGATAACAGCTGGCTACAGAGGCTCCCTGAGATAGTCAACTTAGAATTCAACATAATACAGTGTGGGGAGCCCCAAACAGAGGGAGATGCATTCGCTCATCCCAAAAAGAAATTAAGGTGAGAAGAACCAATCAAACATACAGTCCCAGTGCTATGGTTATCTATCTTATACACTTAAATATATATGCAGTTATATTCTTTAGAGCATTTTCTTTTCCTTTCTTTCGTACCCAGTGCTATTATTGGAACAACTAAAGGTTCAGTGCTCCTGCCACAGTGGGCGACTTGCCAAGACATCCGAGGGCCTGCCACTTCGACTCATTGAAGGCGCAGTCACACAGAGGTCAGCCAGCCGAATGGAGAGCTGAGCTGGAGGGGAGCCTGCATCGATTTGTGCTGAGTGATGGGAGTGGAGCCATTCCACAGAAAGGGGGGCTCCGGCCAATGACATTCTGTGACTTGGCAGGATTGGCAAGTACAAGGGGCAGCAGTGACTTCAGTCAGTTGTCCCCTGCCTGAATGGGATTGGTGGAGTGAGCTAGGCCTGGTTCATGTGACCTGGCTGAGACCCAATAGGTTATCTGAAATCAAGTCCCTATGGCAGCAGTGCACAGTAACCCAGTGAAGCCTCAGAAGTTTGAATGACCCAGAGAGGAGGCGGCACTCAGCAATATAGTGCAGGCCACAGCTGCAAGACTGATCTTGGAGGGGAGGGGCCAGCATATGCTGCCCCTGTCTGCAACTCACTAGCACACTGCAGTGAGAAGGGTCACCTAACTAGCGTGCTTCAGAAGAATTGTAACCAACAAAGAAAGAAACTGGGGCCTCCTGGAAAAAACAAAAAAGATGTGAAGAGCAAGCAACAACAAAAAGTCCTCAGGTCCCAACCCTGAGAACATTGACCCAGGACAAGTAAATACAAAGGAGAATGAGAACAACAAACAATATCAGACATGGCACTAGTGGACATAAAGAGATATCTTTGGGACCTCATAGATGAGTTCAAAAGTGAAATATTTAGCCAAGTAAAGCAAGATATAAGATTAATAAAAGAGATACTAAACACCCCTCAAGCACACACAGACAGGAGAAGGGAGGAACTCAAACAAAGGAGAGAACCATTTGATGAAGAATATAAAGAAAATATAGAATACACGAAGCAGATTCAAAGAGATTACCAGGAAATTAAAAACTCTATGGAAAGATGGCAAATCTTCTTGAAAGAAACTAAGGATAGATTATCCAAACTGGAGGACAGTTTTGCAATGTGGGATTATGAAAGGGAAAACTTTTAAAAAATAACAACAGAACAAGCAGTAACAATACAAAGGCTAGAAGATGATAAGAGGATCTATAACTTGAGAATAAAGAATGTGAATGAAGAAGCAGGGATACAAAGGAACTACAAAGGCTATTCACAGAAATAATTAAGGACAACTTCCCAAACATAGGAGTAGGAAATGATATTCTGATATATGAGGCATACAGAACTCTAGCCACCTACAACCAAAACAGAGCTACACCCAGGCATATCATAATCAAGATCCCAGAAATTCAATATAAGAACAGAATATTAAAAGCTGCTAGAGCCTAGAAACAGATAACCTATAAAGGAAGGCCCATCAGAATAACAGCAGACTTCTTGACACAAACCATCAAGTCAAGAAGAGCCTGGAGCAAAATATTCCAAGCCCTGAAATAAAATAACCTCCAACCCAGATTGATCTGCTAAACTGTCTCTAGAAATTAATGGAGAAACAAGATGCTTCCAAGACAAAGAGGAACTTGGGAAATTCTCAACCACCAATCCAACTCTACAGAGAATACGGCAGGGCATTCTAGAGAGAGAAAAAAGTACTAGCATTCTGGTAATAGTGACAGAGAGGACTCAGTGAATGGAGCAGAAAACAGAATGAAGATAAGCAGATAACTGATGGCAAAAAAGAGCATAACAGAAATGAGGCAGAAAAGGTTGGTTATAATCTCTAATATAGATGGCCTTGATACACTAAATTAAAATAAAATGAACCACACATGGAGTAGATCAGGAGGCAGGGTCCACCGAGATGCTATTTATAGGAAATATAATTAACATGAAAAAGAGTACATGGACTGAAAACCACATATGAGAAAATAATTCTCTATGTGACAGAGAACCAGAGAGTAATAGGGGCAACTAGACCAGTATTTGTGGATAGGTTGGAAAGACAGGCTTTAACAGGTAAAGGAATACAATTAGAAATCAAGTCCAGGAGAGAGAAGGTTCAGAACTACTTAGGTAAATAGCAGGTTGCCCCCCACCCCAATTTAAAACCAAGGGTCTCAGTGAGACCCAAAAAATGCACAGTGTACCCTGGGGAAGTGAAAAGGGAGGGAGAGTCTTAAAAAAGATGGCAGAAGATATTGTTAATAGTGTCTCAGGATTTAAAACCCACAGTACTCACACTACTCTGCTTAGATAGATTTTATTCCTTTTTTGATAGATTTTATTCTGTCCCAGTTTGTCTACTTGCATTAGATTTGAGGGCACAGACACCTATCCCCAAAACATCAGGATATAGCACAGTAATCATCTTTAATTTCCTATTATCTTAATCTGGAGCTCTGTATGACTTATACTGTTTTATCATGATGGATCTTAGTTAAATCTCATTTGTTTGATTGCTGTTTGGTATAGACAGTTTTATTCAAAGCTGATATTATTGATAGTATCAAGTCTGAGAGTATAGGCAACTACACTGAAGATGACAAGACTCTACGACACACATTCTAGTTTGATAACTGCCTGTTTTTGAAGTTTTATACTATATAAAAGTTGTTTTTATTAATACTGTTATGTACTGATATACTCAATTATACTATGTCTGATGAGATAGCTAATTCTATTGAAGATAACAAGAGACAACAGAGGAACTATGGTCAACTCTTCGTACAATGGTCTTATATGTCTTTTTCATTTCAAGTGTTCATAGGAATATGTTTTGTTTTGTCTTACTTTGTTTTGTTTCTTCCTCTAATATAGAAAGGATAGAAATACATGTTAAAACCCATGCATGTGTAGAATATAAAAACAGTTTATGAGACCTGATCTTATGACACATGATGAAATGAACAGATACTTTGAAGAAAAATACATGATCTTAAAATACTCAGTGCTGATCCTGGAGTGTCATAATGTGACACCCAGCAATAGTATTATTCTTTGTTCAGAGTGATATTAGCCTGCTTGGGTTTGTTCAATCTCAACATAATTGAAGATATGGGTAACTGCATGTATGTTTAAGTGTATAGGATAACCATATTTCTAAGTTTTTGTTGGATAGTTGAACAGAATTGTTTGCAGTTTCGCTGTTTGAATTCCCACTGTATATGTTCCACTTTTGTATCTTGAACAACTATTTGTAAAAGGACAGTATGTAAACATCAACTAGTGATTTCTGTTTATTTTTTCTCTGAACTTATATGTTATTTCTATCCATTTTTTGGATAGAAATTTTCCATATTTTTTGTTTAGTCTTTATTTAAAAATTTTTTAAAAAATAGGGTAGACATGGTTCTTAGCAACCCAATTTCTTTATATATTTGTCTTCTATTTTAAGAAGATGCTGTAGTGTTTGATGATGCCTTCCTTTTCCTCTGGTGTTTCTAGTTACCTGGACTTCCATAATCTGAGCCATCCCTTCTGTCTCAGTCACTGCCAGTATGCATATCCAACACACAGGCTTAAGCAGGAAGCCTGTCATATTTATCAGATAAAGAATAGGTTTGTTTTTTTTTTTTTAATTGTGATGCTGCCCACAAAATGTCTTCTCTTAGGAGATCGGCATGAAACGGCCCTCTTCTTCTAGTCCAAGGCATAAAACTGACATCTGTGGTAACTGAATCCATTTATTCTTTACTGCCCCTTAGAGCTCATTTCTACCATTGCTCTTTTTTCTGATTCCTGTACTTGCCAATAGCTTGCATTCTGGCGAGCTCTTCCATCTATTCTTGGTTAAGCCAATGTGAGAGCTGGATTAATTTATCTTATAGATCTTTCTACTACTATATGGAACTTAACTGATGGGACCCCAGGCTCTATGCATTAAAATCCACTCTGAGGCCCAAGAGCTGCTTACTGCCAATATCTAAGTACAGTACAGAGGTTTAGGTAGACCAGTTCCAGGGAAACGTTGGACTCTGTTGGTTGATTTTGCCCCAGTGATTCCATAACGGTTCCTCCATGGCCAGAAGTTTTAGATGTTTCCACTCAACCTTCTCTCCCTTTCTTCTTCATTCACAGTCAAATTTGCTCCATGGCCTGAAGGCTCTCCACTCTTCCTATTTTCTTTCATACGTGCAGTTTACCTGGTGACGTCTTTGATTATTTAATCTTTCTCAACATTGCCCTCCAGGATCATACAGCTGCATTTTGCCAGCTCCTCTCATCTCTATCTGCTCTGTCCTTGGAACTCTGGTTGCTTCATAAATAAATGTCTTCTTAGTTCCTAAATAACTGTCTTGATATTTCTCTTCTCTGCACTTTCACTTGTCTCACAGTCATGGGTGTGTATCCTTGCACTCTTTTCATTAGTAACACACTAAGATCAGAAATATACAAGAATTATTGTAGATCATCTTTTATTAGCTGATATCTCTTGGCACACTTCCATGATCATAGGATGAGAACTTAACATCATTAAATCAGAAAGAGATGAAGGTATTTCATTCTTATGAAATAGATGTATGGGCATTTTCAGATTCTATACTCACATGGTTTTCACACTGAGTGAAAGCAGGGAAGGCAGATACCAACACTCTTGATAGATCTGAGAGTGCTTGGGGTATCAAGTATCTGATCTTGAATACTGTCCTGATGAATCACTGAGGGCTCATGGATGACTAAGTGATGACCTTTGCCTTATTTATGGAAATCCCCTTACCCATGGTTTCACTTTTTTCTGTTTTAGTCACCCATAAGCAACTCGAACCTGAAAAATAGCAAATTCCCAAGATAAGCAATTTATACATTTGAAATACTTTTTGTTGTAGTATTTGTTCTAATTATTCTATTCTTAGTTATTTTTGCTAGTCTGTTCCTCTGCCTAATTTATAAACAGGTTTTCTTTTTCTTTTCTTTTGAGATGAGATTTCATTAGCTAGTCCAGGCTGCTTTCAGAGTCACTATATAGCTCAGGTTGGTCTCAAACTCAGGGCAGTCCTTGTGCCTCAGGTATGCCAGCCTCAAGACTATAGGCATGTCCCACCGTGTCTGGCTAAACTAAATTTTTTATTAAAATTTTAAAAAAATGAAACAGATGTGGGTACTTTAATGTTGAAAGGAGTCAGTGAAGCTTAAAATTACTTTATCTAATGTGATGGGTTTAGGAAGATTCTAGAACCCTGCCCAATGACATACTGTTTCTGAGTAGACATTTTTCATATGAGCCAAAAAACTCTTCACAAAGTACTCACAGTGATTTTCAGTGTGCACAAATTTAGGACACGTATAGAATGATTAGAATTTTATTTATTTATTTATTTATCTATTTATTTAGACCCCTGCGGTTGTGGACTCACATGTGGAATGATTAGAACTTTATTTATTTATTTATCTATTTATTTAGACCCCTGTGGTTGTGGGCTCTTATTTATTTGTTGGAACCGGAGATTGAACTCACAACTTTGCGCTTACCAGGCAAGAAAGTGCTTCAGACCCTGAAGTAATTCCCAGCCTGAGTGCTTAGAATTTTATGTTGCCTTAACATCCATTTTAAGATGTAACTTAGCTTTATCATGACAAAACCAGGGCAGTCACTCTCAATAGTTTCTAGTACTATACCTCAAAGGTTGTTGCCCTGGTATAAATTACTGTACAGTTATGGCAATGGTTTAACATGACGGAAGGCCAAAGTGGAAACGCTTGCCCACATGGCCAGTCTTTCCTTCTTCCCCTGCAGCCCAAAATTGTTTCCCCTTTATAGGTCAAGAAAGTGCCAATCAGTTCCTCACAGGTCATCAATGCCAGCTTCCTGTGCCACTTCCCAGCAGAGGTCATCTAACCCTCTGACCTTCTGTATCCAGCCAGAAGGAGAAAGCCAAACCCCTGTGGTTGTGGGCTCTTCTCCTCTCTCCATGTCCTCAAATAAATAGCCACTTTCACTCTCTTTTTTCTGCTATCTATTGCACCAGAAAACTCTAACAAAACCCACTCTAGTGGCTCCAGTGGTAGCCAGAGATAAAAATTTAGAGACAGCTCTCCCACCTGCAGGCTTCACCCCTTTCCCAATGCTTATTTTATATGAACCAGACATTTCCCAGGAACTTAAAGCAACTACATCTCAGTCATAGAATGATCTCTTGAAATTTGTGCCTGCTTGTTTAAAACCCACCAGTTGAAGTACTATCAAGAGAAATCTGTTTGTATAATTCTCTGGATCCCATAAAGGCAAATTCCCTGAAGCCAAATCCGGCTCCACTCCTTGCCCTCTCTGACTTGCCCTGTGTGACCACCGGGCATGTGACTTCTGAGCTTCCTGTCCCTTCAAGGTTTTTAAAACTCTCACAATTTCACATGTGGTAGGTGGTAGGATGCCCTGAAAAGGCTCATGAAGGTGAATCCCCTGCTGGTGCAATTTTGTCTGGGCCCAGTGGACTGGCTGGGAACGTTAGTTAGCACCTAAACTAGTAGAAAACTCAGGGTTTCACTCAAAACGATTGTGATGTGCAAGACTGGACTGCATTATATACCAGGATCAAAGTCTTCAGAAAGAACTAAAAAAATGCCTCAGCCAAATGAGCCCTAACAGCTCACAGACCCTTACTTAGGGGCCATTGTATTTCCCTGGAAGCAAAGGCCCAGGACTTTCACATCCCAAATAAAGAACCTCATGTGTCAGTCAGGTCACCTAATTCTAAAATAAACTACCAACTGTGAACCCTCAGGTTTGGGAGAATGTGAACTTCATGGGCAAAGAACACTGGGTTGGCAAAAAAGGGAACATTGTTCGAATTCTTAACATTTACTGCAAAGGGATCCAGGAGGAGATGGCTGGCTTTCTTCCTGTTAAAGGTTTACTGTGAGATGAACTTGACAACTGACCCTTTACCACTTTGTGTACCCTAGGCTATATTCTGACTCGAAGGTCTCCCCAGTGGTACAACCTCTAACACCCCTGGGCTCTGGGAGGCTGAGGCAGAAAACTGGCTAATACCTGCTCTAAGAAATTTAGCGAGTTTTTCAGTCTCAAAAACTAAAGAAGCCCAGGAATACAGTTTAGTGCAAAAGCCTTGAGTTCAATCCTGGAATGGGGGTGGGGAGAGATGTCACAGTCAGGACCCATTGAATAAAGCTTAAAAAGCAAATAAAAAAGGAGCTGAGCATTGTAAAGGATAAAACAAAAGCTGTCCTCTGAGAAGGACTCTCAAAATCCCAGGAGTGCACTGGACCATTGGGAAATCCGAGTCAGTTGTTCTGCATCTTTAGCCTCTTGGCCTGGTCTGCAAAGGAAGGCAGCACAGATCCTCTAGGGACCCCAGGAAGGCATTGCTTGGGCTGGTTCTTGGAATTTTAGAGCAGAGAAACTCCAGCGACCTGGCCTGAGGAGGGCAAGGCACAGGCGCGGAGGGCGGGGCCCTGGAGGAAGAGTGGCCTGGAGCCACACCTCACTGGCAGGGGAGCCGGGGTCTCAGCGTCCCAAATCCGGGGCTCCTGTGCCTCTGGGAGCCGCGGCGTCAGCCCGGGAGCTCCAAGCAGCGGGGTGTTGCGCTCCGGACCGAAACCCTGCGGGAGGGGCCGGGTCCCAAGCAGGAGCCTGGGCCCGGGGCCTTTGCTGTGCTCGGCCGCAGCCGCAGCCCATCGTGAGCCGCAGTCTCCTTGCCCCCTGCCTCTCTGCTTCCTGGGATACCCCACCCCATAAAATTTTAGAACGGAATTTTCTGTGTTGGACACGAAGGGCAGATGGCGCACAGCAGACCTTAGGGAAGACGCGTAGGTGCCTCAGGGTGGTCTCCGCAGTGTAGCGGTCATCAGTTTACCGGAACCGTGAAAGGTGCCCGCTTAGAAACCGGGCGGAAACAAGAGTCCTGAGGTTTTGGTTCCTTCCCACCCCACCCACCGTCCCTCTGCAGCCTCCACCAGAGAATGAATGGTGTCTTCAATCCTGTTACCAGAGGTAACAAGGAGGCTTCCTTAGGGTAGTGGTTATCAGGTTCCCCTAACAAACAGGTCAAAGGGCCCTACCTTTCCGGGTCGAAACAAGGTTCAGGGACAAACAACTTCTCAATTCTGTCTTTAGCACCCCAGCAGCAAGACACACACACACACACACACACACACACACACACACACACGGATCAGAGTGACTGGCAGTACTACTGAGATCAGTGTCCTGCTCCTAGAGATGCTGAGCTGGGTGTGGATGTAGAGGATGATGGGAGATGTAACAGGCACCCACTGACCTGCTGAGCTTTAGCGTTCCTAACTGAGGTAGGTAGGAGCACTGGCATGTGAATTAGGAGTCCAGGAGAGGAAGAACAGGTTGCACTTTAGAAAGAGATGCTCCGTCCTGGGCCACGCTGCCTATCCTGGGGCTCACTGTCCTGGGAGCTACCTCTCCTCAGTGACACTCGGGACTCCTCAGGGGTGAAGATGTCCTGCATGGAAAAGTAGCTGCCACTAAACCCCATGATCCATGCTGTTTCTCGCCTGGGACACCTCACAATTGCACCAACTGTCTTGGGGTAAGGAAAGTATGAATCAGAGAAATTGGACCTGCATGAACTCAGCCCTTGGTGACTGTGTGTTCTTTTGGGTCCTCGGTTGGAGCCCGAGTTTCACAATACTGCATTTTGTGCAGGAAACTAACTGCACTGTGCATGTTTGTTCTCTGGCTCTTTAAATTTGCACTTCATTGTGAGTTTCTAGCTCTGTTGTCTCCAATGTGTCACTGCTGGCCGCCCTTGATCAGGTTGAAAAATGGCTTCATGGATTGGGTTCCTTGTCCAAAGGGCGGCACAAAACAAAACTGCTGAGTCCTGCAACCTGCGGCATGGTGCTCAGGTCCCTGGCAAGCAGGTGGCTATTGAAGCCTGGAGGGCTCAGGGCACTGCTGGGCCCAAGGTATGGAGCGGGAGATGCTGGGATGGAGACTGAGGAGGGGATGATCGGACAGCAGAGAAGATAAACAGCAGGCATGAAAGAGGGATTTTTCCTCTGTAGGTTCCCAAACTGTGCGCATCTGCCCCAAAGCAGGATTTTCTCTGAAGCAGCAAGGTATTTGCCTGGCATTGGGTCTTGCAGTTTCCGGTGACTCAGAGGAGCAAAGTGGGACCTCTTAGTTCTCTAGCTCTGGAAAGCTAAGGCAGCAGCCTTGCTGGCCTTAAAGAGTGGACTGGCAGGAAGGGAAGCACACAACTCTAGGTTTTCTGGAAGTTAGAGTCTGAGATGGAAAAATACGAATACCAACATTTATAGGTGCAGAGATAGGCAAATAATGGGTAAAACTGCTAAAATTCGGTATCCGCAGGAGAAGAAATCTAAGAGTGGATGAAGAGAGTCATTTTTTACAACAAGCTTGAAGCACAGGTAACTTTGAGAGAAATGTGACATGAATAAAAACTCATCCCCTTGTACATCAAAAAGTTTGAAACTTATTATTTGTGTTTTTCATCAAAATTTTCATAGCCATGTGTATCTCATATTTACTGTCTGAGTTTTGTATCCTGTTAGGGTGGGGCTCAGGACACACTACCCCCAAACAGGACATCAAGGCATAGTGAATAGTTTTAGCTGAAGCAATTTGTGCAAACAGCAGCAGCAGAGAGGTATCTTATCTCTTTCCTCTCCTTCTCCCAGGTTGCAGATCCCAACCACATCTGAGACGTGCTCCCTGTACCCAGAGAAAAGGAGTACTCTCAACTCTGAGGACAGAGACATAGGGGAGGGTCGTGGCAGACTGGCTGTGTATCCCCAGGTTCTCTCTAAAAGTGTCTTTTCCCTCTCCTTTATATTTTCTTCCTACTGGCCCCATTTCCCTTCCATATCTATTCTACTCTTGTTATTCATCATTCTTTAAATTTAAAAATAGGCAAATTAAATGAAGAAGACAAAAACAACAAAGAAGAAGAAGATGCCCACTCATCTAAATTTCCATCCCTGGATTAAGTGAATATTAACATCTTCATAATAATTGTCTTCTAACCTAATTCCTAGTTATGCTCATCTTTTACACAATTATGCGTGCTTATTAATTATGATTCAAGCAATACAGGAACATGTATATGGAGGACAACCCGGATGACTCACCATGAAAGAGGAACAATTATTTCCATTGTCGCTAAACATGGCCCTATTGCCATAATTGCTATGTACAGAGCTGGCTAGGACTTTTCCTTATCCCTTCAATTGGCTTTAAGCAATGCAAATCAGTCTAGCCCAGGTGCTGATGTGTACTCTTTGAAGCAAGGTGAGAGGTCAGTGGTACCCCACACCCATAGCAAAAACCATGTGTGAGCCAGTGTGGTGGTTCTGTGGGGTGGGGTGGGAGAGCCAAGCTCCATGCTGTTGGCTGGATCCAGCCTCCAGGTAAGAGGCTATGACTTCCCAGGGAATAAAAGATTACACATCAGAGCTGAGCTATGGGCCCCCAAACATTAGATATTGCCTGTAACTGCGTTATGCAGATGACTCTTTCTGCATATCCTCCTCTCTGCATACTGCAGAGGTGATTTCAGGCCTCCAACCTAGCCCAGCTCACAGCACTCACATACTGCCCACCACTAGGGGGCACTCATTCCCACGCCTCTCCCCTCATGGAGAATTAATGAAAGACTCTGGGTTTGGGTTTGGGCTCTGGGTCAAGGCCTTTGTTCCTGTTAAGCATCAACCTAGCTGCACTTAGGACCTCCTTTGCTCCCCACAACTATGAATATGTCTTGGTGTCTTTATTCTCACCATGGGTTGCACTGCAAGTGGTAGATTGGAATAAACTCTCTAGAATTCCAGTAACTTTTATGTATGTTCATATTGCAAACATGCGAGATTGAAAAATAACTTCTGTTGACATTAGTTAAACACTGATGGCATCATTTTCCTGGACGTGCTTTCCTTGCTGGGAACTGCACACAGGGCCTGCAACATGTCAGGCAAGCACTCATCCATTGAGCCACATCCTCAGCCCCAAATATGCTTTCATGAAACTGAGTCGTTACATATTCTAATTTTTTTTTTTTTTTTTTTTGGCAGGGGGAAGGTTTGGGAATCAAGCTCAGGAGCTCATGCTTAATGGGCAGGCAGAGAGCAGCTGAGCCATATATCCTGGGACTTCTTTGGTTTTTAAATAGTGCAACTATGCATGAAAAAGACACAAAAACAAAAATAAAAAATTGCTGAATGTTCCATTGAGTTATTTTCAGACAAAGACTCTCTGAGGCTAAAAAAACAAAACAAAACAAAACAAAACAAAAAAACCCTTCACTAGCTGCATTAAAATTTGGAAAAAAATTACATTTAAATTTGGAATCTTTATACGAGTGCCTTGTTCATGCCAGGCCAGCACTCTATGTGTGAGGTATATTCATCAATTTATTTTCTGAGACAGAATCTCCCCCAATTACCCAGGTTGGCCTTGTCATCCTCCTGTCTCAGCCTCCGAGCAGCTTACATTTCAGGCATGGACACAGTGCCTCAGAAGGCATTGATGATTGAATTCTCTCAAGGTCCCCTACTTTGTATTTGAGAAAGGACACCTCCTCCCATGGCTACAGAATAGAAATAGAGGTTCCTCAGGAACCTTGATTAATTCCCAGGATGAAGGGTGTCTACTGGTAGTATCCTGAGCACTGGCTGGGCATGTATACCTTGGGTTTGGTTTTCTTTGACCTGAGAAGGTCTGTCCAGTCCCAGCTCCACCAGGATATCCACAGATGCTGGGACCTTGGGGACCTCTGTGTGCCATCCCTGATATAGGCACCTCGGGGCATCATAACCCTTCCTGAGGCATCCTGCAGTTTCCTTTGGCCAGACCAGAAGGCTCAGAAGTGAGGACAGGTCAGCAAGTAACCCTGGGAGAAGGAACAAAATGCCTACACCCGCTGAGAGTGGAATTTGGATTTTCCCTAAATTATGGCTCACCCTTCAGGTACTGTCAGTTGGGGAAAAATAAATTACTTCTGACACTACAGAGACTCTCAGGACCTCATGGAGATCTTGTGACTCCCAAGGTCTGCACAGGCTACCTCTGTGTTCTGCTCTACCATGTGGGGGCCCTGAACCAGTGTTTCCAGTCAACCTCCTGACCTGGATGCAAATGAATTCAAGACTGACCCAGGCTAAACCCTCACGTTTAGCCTGAGTTGGAAGTTACATAATTTCAAACAGCCAAAGGCCCTCAGGTGTCAGTCTTTGCCCTTGTGATGGTTAAATGTGAGATCTCAGTTAGGTCACTGGGACAAGTACATTCCAATAGAACAAATACCAGCAGCAGGAACCCGAGGGCCCCATCAGTCCAGAGGCTGGGAGGCAATCAGAGAAAGGGCTTGCAGGAAAGTGCACAGGCCCTGCTGCTGTCTGAGCTGGGGAGACAGGGGAGAGTGTTGGCACCATGGTTCCCGGGTGGACTTGGGATGCCTGTCCTTGGTCAGGACAAGAGCTCTGAGGCCAATGCCTTGCTGTCCACAGAATGAAGCAGGGATGGTCACTGTCCCCACTCCTGGGCAAAGTTGAAATTCTGAGTTGTGAAGTGCAAAAACTGCAGGTGCTGAGGTTTCTGGATATCAGGAGTCAGCTAGGGGCACCGAGCTCTGGAGAGAAACCTTGGGGGAGCAGCAGGATCCAAAGCCACAGTGCAGGAACGCAAGGTCTTCCTGTGTGAGTGGACTCAAAAGCCCAAGTCTCTGCCTTCATGAGGCATCACTGATGCTTCCTTGTTGTTTGTTTAAATTGAACTTCAAAATGCAGTATTGAACTTGCCATTTTGGAAACGAATAGTGGGAGCCCCCAGGTTCAAGATTTCCCTAAAGCCCTCTCTAACACAGTCAAAGTATTGGTT